AAAGAATTTTAAAATAAACTACTATGGGCCTGAAAAGACCAAAAAAGAAAAACTCTACCTGGTTCAGAATTCCTTCTTCTCAAATCATACCACTACAACAGATTGCCTATTCTATCCCACTCAGAGACCAAAAGAAACTGCAAACATAACATTATTAACTGATCTCTCTTTTTTTTATTCTTTAGGAAATGCTACCTGGTCTACTTACTCTCTTCACATTGCAAACAGATCTGCAAACTAGTTATGCTTAGAAATCAGTCAACTGTAACAAGTGGCGATCATGCATTTTAAGACATATCAGAAAATCTGCTTCCATTAATTACCATTTGCTACTGGGGACAATTTAAGTACCTGACTTAGTTGTGATTGACCTAAATGTGTCCCAACCAGCAAAGGAATACATAAGGAGGACTCAAAAGTATCTAAAGCATTCCAAGCTGAATTACGGTGGGAGTAAAAAAGTAATTCTCTATTTAACAACATGAAGAGCTCAGTGCAGTATTTTATTATTAATTTCTGTCCTCTTCTTTCAGCATCTCCCTAATCAATATCCTCCAACTCAAAAAGGAAAGCAAGGCCCAGTGAGAGGGGAAGGGAAGCATACTAATACCCGGCAAACACTATTATGTGTTAGTTCATTTACTGTACCTAATTTCATCTCATCTTTATAACTAGTCTAAGAGATGACAACGCAGTCCAAATTTATAGAAGAGGAAGCTGGAGATTGAAGACATTATGTGATCTCTCCAAAGTCACACAGAGAATAAAATGTGGGATTAGAACTTAGGACCAAAACCAAAGCCCATGTCCACTCCTTACACTACAACCCCTAAGTCATCTGTCAGAGAGAAGGTAACTTAGAATATTTCAAAGAGACCTGCCAGGTAGTAATCATTTTAAATAAAAACTAAACAGATAATACACCTTAAACATAGCAAACAATAATACACATGCTTTAATATACTTGAAAATAAAGAACTGCACCAAAGTTGTACAAGGCACATTAAAGTATAAAGAGAAAATAAAAATAATTTTGTAAGAGAAAAACCATACACTGCTTCTTATCCTTATCTTAGACACAAAACGAGATGAAAGTTTTTAAATTTTTGAAAAAAGTGTTTATAGTGGTAACATTAAATCATACTTAAAAAACTGACTTTGAGATAATAAATACCTTCTTGGAGTACATCTTTTAGAGTTATCCTCTCCCTGGATATTGCTATATCCTTCACCTTGGCTTTGGCTTCCAGAAGAGTGACACTTCTCAAGTCGTTCTTCTCTATCCGCAAGGTAGGATAACCTAAGGAGCCAACAAAGCCAAACCAAGCAATATAAATACCCTTATTATGGTATTGGGGTCAACTAGTTCAGTTAGAACCTCAGGACTCAAGTCACAGGAATGAGTGTAAGAATCATAAAAGGAAACAGGCATATATATGAACTAGGAGAGTTATTTGAAGCCCACACTAAATGTTAAAGAAATGTCTTCTCGCCCACCACAACACTATTCCAAAATGTTAAAATTCTAAACTGCAACAAGAAATCCTAAAAATAGCATTACCATGATCACCACTTCAATTGCCTTTTAGCCAAATGAAACAAGCTTGACCTGTGAAATTTCATTTAATCCCTCTTATGGACAGGTTTTCTCCCAAAAGATTTTCTAATATAATCTCATAACAAACCAACTTTTCAAATGAAGATGTTTTTCAAACATCTCATTTGAAAAGTTGTTTTGTTTGAACAAACAAAAAGTTTCAAACAAAAAGTTATTTTTGTCTGCAAAGGCTTTGTTTACAAACAAAATACATAATCAATTTAATTATTCTGGTATTACCACATCCTAGCAAAACCATTGTGAGATTCAAATTTATTAAGTTCCCTTAATTCCCATTCATTCTTAATTCAATGACAGCAACAACAGAATTTACAGTTACAAATTAGTTTTCACTTCAAGAAAAAAAATGTTAGAATAAAAGGAAAATCTGGTGTTAGCAAGTAGAAGTTGCAATGGCATCTCTAAGGATTTATTAGCTTTAGCAGATATTGGGAAGAAACCTCCCCTCAAAATTAGTGGACCTACGCAATGATCATTGATGGTTGCCAGGAGAACCATATGAAAAGTTTTGGGCAACTTTACAAAGGATGTAGGCTGACACCACCTGAAACCACTGATTGGCAGCAGTTTGACTGTGACAGACTATCTAGGTGTGTGAGTACATGCGAATGTTTATGTTTAATTCTACTTGGAGTTCTCTTAGTTTCTTGGATCTGTGATCTGTTGCGCTCTGTTATCTTAGAATATTCTTGGCTACTATGTCTTCAAATAATTTTTTCTTCCTCTTTTTCTGTCTGTAAACAAATGTATTTCTATTGACCTTTTTAAAAAGTGTTTGTTTTTCGCATATATATGGTAAGTAAATTATCTAGTTCCTTACGGTAATGGCCACAATTACAAACAAGTAAATTTCTTATTGATGGCAACAATCTTTAAAAGATAAATTTATTTCCTTTGACTTTATTTATTTATTTATTTATTTATTTATTGAGATGGAGTCTTGCTCTGTTGCCCAGGCTGTAGTGCAGTGGCGCAATCTTGGCTCACCGCAAGCTCTGCCTCCTGGGTTCACGCCATTCTCCTGCCTCAGTTTCCCGAGTAGCTGGGACTACAGGCGCAAGTCACCATGCTCAGCTAATTTTTTGTATTTTTAGTAGAGACAGGGTTTCACTATTTTAGCCAGGATGGTCTCGATCTCCTGACCTCGTGTTCTGCCGGCCTCGGCCTCCCAAAGTGCTGGGATTACTGGCGTGAGCCACCATACCCGGCCCCTTTGACTTTTTTAAGAAAGTATTTTAGCATATATAACAACAATTACCTACCTCTTTGAGGTCATATATAACAATTAAGAATCCATTCTAATGAGCCAAGATTGAGATCTAAATATCAAATGCAATGATGTGCCTGTTCTGAGTAGCTTAAACTACTTTCACATCTATCGTATTTCCTAAAAAGCATATATTTCTTTCTTCATTAGTGGGAAGAGTAGCTGCTATTATTATTTCCCTTAAATTTCGTTTACTCCATTATGCATTCTCCCCCTCCTTTTTCCTGCCACTGTCTTATTGAAGAAACTGGGTCGGCTACCCTGGAAAATGTTTGGCTTCTACTTCTTCAAGCAGTATTTCCTATAAACTGTAAGTCAGGTCTATAACCTTGATTAGATCCAGGTTAACTTGTAGGGGGTGCAGTAGGGAGAGAAAAGAACGCTCCATGAATGGTACATAATATCCTTGGGTACAAAATACCTAGGTCCCTACTTTTAGTAACGCTGAGTTCATCAGTGTATTCAGGTGGTGACAGCCTAATCCCTCAATGGCAGAGTTCCCCATTTTCCTTTTAATCACTGATGATCTTTTTCTGAATCAACTATTTCATCAGGAGTTGCACATGCGATTTTTCTAATTATATAATTCCTTCCACATTTATTAGCTGAGAATCATCTGTAAAGAAACATTTTCTCTCATCCACCACCATCTGGTTACCCTGAAATACAGTTCATGTAGTCAGTTGGTAGAGTAAGGTATTCATTGGAGCCTTAGTTACCTCTCATAATGAACAATTTTGTTAAATAAGGTATTGCTACAAATTTGTGCATTTTTATACATTTTACATCTTAATTCATTATAGTCATTATTCATTTTGATGATCAAATGGTCCCATCTTTAGCCAGTGGGAGTTCTTCAAGTCTTAGCTATTTCCTTGATATCTGACTCAGCAACATGTCCCAGGCTTATCTTGCTCACTTCCTGACCCAGACCTGCAATCAGCCATTTCTCCAAAAAATCCTGGTTCTTTTTCATGGGAGACAGTACCGGAAAGCCACAATAGGGCACTGGGTAGAGGACAGATATTCTTCATCTTATTTTACTAAAGAATAAATGCCAGTCCAAAAAAGGAAATCAGATCCGACATTCTCAACTCTCCAGTTGAGAATAACTTCCTATTATGATTAAAAACCAATATAGTCTTTACCATGGCCCATAAGACCATCAAACAATTCCTTACAATCTAAAGTCTTTGTCTTTATGTAGCTCAATGGTTAATTAAATATAGTTACCTGAAAATCTTCCTTTTGAATTTCTACAGAAGTGACTTAGTAGCCCTTTTAGTATAATAAATCTATGGAAATCTCCCCAAGCCACACCATTTCTAGCAAACTTAAATTTCATTTCTGACACCTCAATTTTAGAATGTTTCATTCAATGCTCTAGAAAGCAAAAGTTGAAGAGCATACCTAATTTTGCATGCTTTAGATACGATTTACACAACATGTCTCACAAGAACGCTAACCATGCAAGACCACTGGGAAGCAGCATAGACAACTTTAGTAAGCTGGCTTTAGAATTAAATTAACTCTTACTGGTGATAGGAGTTGCATTGTTGGGTGTGTCAGCTCTCAGATACTGAGTCGTCTGGGTGGATGGCTGAGACAGCCCTTGGGAACTACTGCTGGCACTAATGCTGCAAACAATTTTTGAGAGAAATATTTGACAAGTCAGTTTCAATGAGAAATTTCCTTTTTCCATACATATAAAATGCACATAGCCATTGTAACCAGCCTAAAATCCTGATGGAGACCACAATAATTCATGATGTTCCGTACTGAAATTTTAATCTAACTCCTATAGAGCTCTATTTTTTCTTTCATTTCTATCTCCAAAATCATTAAGCAAGTTCATCTTATCAAAATTATTCAGAAATGTAGGTACTAGTGCTCAGACACCTCAGATAATTGTCCTGAACTTCACACAAAGATATGTTAGGGAACTATGGATCATCTCTCAAAAAAAGAGCCCATGCCACTCAATTAGATTGCTTTTTAGAAAAGAAGAAGAAAGACAGGGTTCTTTCAATGATGGTCCAATATCAAATGGCCTACAGACAAAGGAAGAGCAAACCAAGTCAAATGTGCCAACATGCTCAGAGCTTAGAAAGGAGTATTGGCCAGGTGTGGTAGCTCACGCCTGTAATACCAGCACTTTGGAGGCCAAGGCGGACAGATGACCAGAGGTCAGGAGTTTGACACCAGTCTGGCCTACATGGTGAAACCTCGTCTCTACTAAAAGTACAAAATTAGCTTGGCATGGTGACGCATGCCTGTAGTCCCAGTTACTCGGGAGGCTGAGGCAGGAGAATTGCTTGAATCTGGAAGGCGGAGGTTGTAGTGAGTCAAGATTACGCCACTGCACTAAAGCCTGGGTGATAAAACAAGACTCCATCTCAAAAAAAAAAAAAAAAGGTATCAAATTTGGTTTAAGTTCATTTAATCACAATACATTTTGCTGCTTCTACTTCCCCAATCCCTCCTTTTTATCCAACTTCTGGGAAATCTCTAGTACTTGAAGCATTACACCATATTCTCTAAATAATACACAACACTAAGAAGATGACAGGTTCAAATAATTGTAAACCTTGTGTTCAAGATTACTGCAAAGTAATGCTGCTCAAGCATGCAGTTTTGTCTATTCAGGGGGAGAAACCTTGTCTCTTGGGTACATTTCAGTCTCACTGCCTTAGTTCTTATAATTTTGCAGCAGTGGAGACATGAAACATAGAAATTCAGCATGAAGAGTGAAACCAGATGGCAGGATAGATCTTTCAATGTCTCTCTTAGCTACAGGATCAGCAGTGCCCAATCAAGTCTCCAACTTTCCTTAATATGCAAAATCTTTTAACTGACCACTTCCCACATAATAGGTCTGTATTTTCAAAAACTGGTGATTTTAAAAAATACATAATAAAGTCCAGGAGTTTGAGGCCAGCCTGGGCAACATAGTGAGACCCTGTCTCTGAAACAAAACACACACACACACACACACACACAAAATGACAAAGGGCTGCTATATAATCTATAACATTTATATATGAAAGTGTATTTTATCAATTTCAAGAGCCCATACAGAAATCTGAAAAATGTAAATATGTAACATCCAGGCAATGAGGATCGTAAGTCCTTATGTAGCCTTTTTATTGCTACTAATACAATATACTACTATCTGCTATTGTAACCAAACCATTTGTAGAAAGTCATAGCAAAAATTAAGATAGGAAGGTCCTGCAATAAACATTTGGAGTGCACTTATAATATGCAAGCCATTCTGCTCAGCACAACCATGGATCTCAAGATACATGTCTGCCTAACGAAATGCCCCTCCAGTATGCCTTCCCTGAATATGTCTATCATTTTAGGTTATCTATCAGGTTGGCGCAAAAGTAAATTGCAAATTGCAGTTTTTGCCATTGCTTTTAACGAAAAAAAAAACTGGAATTACTGCACCAACCTGATACTTCTTGTGAAGCTGCAGTTAGCCCTGTTTCCCCAGCAACTCTGCGAAGATACTTTGCAACTCAAAGAGACTATAATAAAGATTCATTAGGCTATCATCTGGTCAGAGTGCTGGAAGAGCTTCTTAAGCTCAATGTTATTCCAGAATTGATCTATATGGGTTTATAATGCAGTGGGTATAGGTCAATATAGAAAAGAGATGAAGAGCATAAACCGTGAAGTCAGAACTGCCAGTATCATCGATTACTAGCTGTACGGCCTAGGACAAACTGTTTAATCCTCTGGAACCTCAAATTCCCTGTGGACAGAATGTGCATAATACTATCCTCTGGTGAGACTGCTAAAACGATTACATGAAAAATAAGTAAGTAAAGCATTTAGTGCCTGGCCCTCAAACATATATTCATAAATTATTATTACCAATCTATATATACTATAATTATATTAATTATGTGAATATTATGCATCCCCAGTCCTTAGAACAAAAAGCAATTACAGGACTCTGTTTTACAGCTGAGTACCACTCAAAAATCAAACCAGATATCAAAGCTGTTAGAAGTCCAGACTTCAATAATGAGGAGGGAAGAGGAGCATTACCATCCTCAAAACGGAAGGAAATAAACGGGATTAAGATAATCTACCTCACAGGATTTTTGTGAGGCTCAAATTGTATGAGATATGTGAAAATACTACTTAAATATCTACAACCAACATCACTGATGACTTAAGTACGCAGACACGTTCTCTCCATTAACTGAACAGTAGGTGGCACTCTTGTGCTACCTCAGAATTTTTGAAAAGCCTGTAGGCACACAAAGGTGTTACGGGGACATCTGTGTCAATTTTTCACTCCCTCAACAGATATTAAGTGGGTCCCTAAAATAAGCAAAGCACTATGCTAAGTGGTCAGAACAAAATTTTTTTTGGAATCCAAGACTTACTGTTACGAGTGAAGCAAGAAGCAATTGGGGACCTACCCCTGACATCCATTAAAGTCAACACCTACACAGCTATATCACAAGAGGTAGAAAATGAGATTAAAATGTATATTTGCCAGCACTTAATAGTTTATAGCCAGTCTAAATAAATTATCAATCTGAATAAATTATCTCATTTGATTTTCAAAAGCAAGTAAAATTATGTATGGAGATACTAACCCTGTCTTAGAATGAAGTCAGAACTTTGGGAAAGATCATAATTTTCCTTCAAAACACTTACTACAATTTGTACTTTTCTGTTTTTCTCTGTAACTCTACTTCATCTATTCATTCCACAAATATTTATTAAGTATCTACTACATGTCAGGTACTGTACTGGGTGCTAGAGATATAGCAGTGAACGCAACAGACAAAGATTGTGACCCCTACATTCCAGCAGGGATTTTTTTTGTTTGTTTAATGTCTGTCTCACCCAATCAGACTATAAACTCCACGAAGGCAGGCCAAGTGCCTGTTTATTCACCTCTCCTTCTCCAGTACTTAAGCCAGTGCCTGGCACAAGAAGCCCCACGTGGGCCAAAGTGAGCCCCAGTGAAAGCTCAATTAATACTAAGTCAATCAATGAACAGAGAAAACCACACTTCCCTGGAACAGAAAACATAAACCAGACAGAATGGTCATTTTTGACACAAATCGTTGTGCAAAAACCAAAGAATGATTGGTATAACAAAATGTTTGTTTTCCTCCCTCTACTCACTGGTTGTTCAGCCAAATAGTTACTGTGTATTTTACTATGTGTCCGGCACTGTTAGGCATTAGATATAAAATAAAAGATTTTAAAGGGAAACTATCACCAGTAAGGGCAGGGGGGCGGTGGTGGGGACAATGGAAACTGGAAGAGAAAAATCAAGCATCCCACAAAGGAGTAATAAACTTTCCCACAGTCACAAACGAATAGGGAAAGACTACAGTAGAGACACGCTGCAGACCAACCCTTCTGCAGGACTTCAGGGTGAATATAAAGAGAAGCTCTGCTTATCCAGGACAGGCTCATCTGGCATAACACAGAGACTGAAAAGATCAATTTGCAGTGCTGGGAGAGGTAAAGCCACACACATGAGCTCCAACTGCCCTGGCACGAGCACATCTCAGGCAGTGTTAATTCTCTGCCTCTAAGGAGATCTGTTCATAACAAGCAGTGGCTCCTAAGTGCCTGGAATGGAAGAACACTACCATCCCTTTCTAAGGAATTCCATGGAGCCATGGGCTCCAACCAACCTCACCAGACTGTGTGAGGATTAACGGAGTTCATGAATGTAAAGCACAGGGAACAGTGCTTGGCACAGAGCAAGTGCTTTATACAATGACAGTAGTGGATTATTAATATATAGCTATTACAACACTGAGTCCCACCTGCTCTGCCCTGCTCCTAGAAGAGCAATCCTGAAAAAGTTATTTAATCTCTTCAAGCCTATTTCTAGGTGGCTGTGAGTGTTAAGATAATATATATAAAGTACCTGGAACAGCACTAGTAAACAGAAAACACTCAATAAATGGTAATCCCAGTGGCCCCTATATAGAGTGAGAAGCAGCAGATGTCTCTTAAATGCTGTTGGATAACTGGATGGGAGCTTTCTGGTCACCACTGTTAGCCTGCCTGGCAGGTAATAAATAATTGTTAATAGGACAGAAAAGGGTTGAAGAAGAACTTTGTCCATCACTACTAGCATACTGCAGCTTTATTAAAAACGTCATAAAAATGCCATTTACTATACGTAGCACTGTTTTTTAAGAGCTTACAGTATTATTTCATTAAAACCTCACAACATACCTAACTAACTAGATGTGTATTTCTGCTTTACAGAAGAGAACTGAGACACACACAGGCTATATAACTTACTCCATGTAGCCCATAAAACTAGTAAACAGAACAGCCAGGCTTCGAACAGAGATAGTATGGCTCTAGAGTCCATACTCTTGACCACTAGGCTATGCTCTGAAAACATGTGATAATATAAGTTGGTTTTACTGAAGTAATGCCTGGAAACTTTTGCCTGAAAACTATAGAGAACTGGAACACCAATTCATGGATGGTAACTAATTATTTCAGCAGGCAGAGGTAGATGCCCCACGGAATCTGAAAGTTATTGCACAGTTCTGGCCTATGTGGACTCACAGCCCTAGCACACATGCAGGCATTCAAGGAAAACTCTCTGGGTACATCAAGACTGACTTCCAAATGTCATACTCTTCAGTCACCTCTCTACCTGTATCCTCTCTCAAAGTCCTATCAAAATGTTCCCTTAATTGCTTCCAAATGCCATTTCTTCCCCTGTAAAAATCTAAACCTAACTTCACCACCACCATGTACACAAAACATATTCTGAAACAAATCATATATGTACTTCCTTCTCATTCGTGTCCCTTTTCTCTTCTTTCTCCACACAGAAATGGAAAATAACACAGTGGGGACAAAGAGTACTTAGGGGTAAGTACTGAATCCAACCAGCTCCCTTCCCCTTCATAGTCTTATGCCACAAATATGCCTCCCAGCTGTATGTTAAGACCAATTAGGACTAGTAACTCAACAAGGAGTAAGACACACTGCTCCCTAACTGGAAAAAGCTTACATTCTAAAGGTAAGACAATTACACAAAAAATTATAGAAGAAAACGTAAGATAACTGCTACGAGAGAGAGACAGAGAGAGACAGAGACAAAGAGAAATGGGTGTCTGGGAGGCTTAGGAAAGACTTCATGAAAGAGACAGCAATGGAGCTGGAATTTGAAGAGTGGACCAAGTATGGACTGGTGGAAAATGCATGGAGGTGGCCTATGGGAAGGAGAAAGAATGAACAAAAGTCCTGAAGGGCAAAGTGTGGGGCAAAAGTGAGGAATAAGTAATCATTTGACTGGAGCGCAAGTAAGGATACAGCAAGAAGAGGAGAAAAGGTTCAAAGAGTATGGTGATACATCTCCACATAAAGGAGGGCTTTCAAAGAAGTCACAAAGCTGGGGCATGTCTTCAGTCAGCAACTGGGAATCACTGAGGAGGGAAGTAAGAAGTGTGTGTTATGAAAATAAACCTATCATTCCATCTGTCCCTCTCACCCTAACTTGACTATAATGTCGTCCTTATCATCTCTGACTCACTGAGGCTGGACAAGCACCTTTTGTATTCACACACTTTACTATACATATCACAGTCATCAAATTACATACTTTTATAATTACAGGTTAACGCAAAAGATTAAATCTTGAAACTATGAAGTATATCATTATTTCTGTCTGTTCCCAGCACACAGCATAGTATCTAACCCAGTATATCTCAAACTGGCTGTACATTAGAATCATCCAGGAAGCTTTATGAAAAATACTGATCCCCAAATACTACCACAAACCACTTGCATCAAAATCTCTGGAAGGTGGACCCAAATACTAGCATGTTTTAAAAGCTTCTCCTTGACTCTACTGTATAACCAGGTTGAGAACCAATGGTTGAAATCAAAGCAGGTGCGCAATAAATGTTTACTGGATGGAGGGAGGAAGAGAAGGTTGGGAGAATGATGAAGGGAAGAGCTAGAAGGAAGAAACAGGGCTATTTTGAAAAGGCAATGTTCTGAAGTAGAGTCATGTCAAAAGGAATAGAAAAAACATACTTGTTCTCCACTTCTTCCCCAACAACTAAAAAACAAATTTCTGACTTCATAATTTTTAAAAAATAAAAATAAAATCAGAGAAACACAGAGACAGTGATTAGGTCATCTTATTTTTCCTTTGGCTGGGGCTTGGTCATCCTCCCTCCTTCCCCTGCACCACTGCGCATTGGTATGTACGGGCTCCCACACATATACAAATAACTGCTTTCATTTTTTTTCTTTCCCAAAATGTGTACAATACCTGTCATCCAGTTCAATCCTTTTCATACTATGAAGGTGCAAAACAGCTAATATTATTGCTACAAGAAATATTACTGCACAACAAACCCCTACACTAATATAAAACACACGCGTAGAAGTGGTTGGAGCTGCATGTACAGGATCATCTGAAATAAAAACAAAAAGCACATTTAGCTTTTTAAAGAAATATGACTGCTTTGTGATCCAATATACACAAATAAGTATTCTGTTCTTTTCACGTGCCCATTCTTTGGTAAGATCAGTTACCAGTAGCATATTGGTGTAAGTTCACAAAATTTTTTTGATGTTTTTGTTGTAGTTTAAAAAAGATATTTTAGGCCAGGTGTGATGGCTCACACCTGTAATCCCAGCACTTTGGGAGGCCAAGGCAGGCAGATCACCTTGAAACCACCCTGACCAATATGGTGAAACCCTGCCTCTACTAAAAATATGAAAATTAGCCGGGCGTGGTGGCAGGCACCTGTAGTACCAGCTACTCGGGAGGCTGAGGCACGAGAATCACTTGCACCTCGGGGGCAGAGGTTGCAGCAAGCCGAGATCGCTCAACTGTACTCCAGCCTGGGCGACAGAGTGCGACTACAGCTCAAAAAAAAAAAAAAGAATTTTTTAATAGAATTTTTGGCTAATGAGTATAATAGTCACTCACAAATGGTATACATAAAACACACATACCAGTGCATAAAATATACTATAGCAGTGCTGTCCAACAGAACTTTCTGCAGTGACGAAAATGTTCTCTAGAGTACTGTCCAATACAGTAGCCACTGGTCACCTGTGGCTATTAAGCATTCAAATGTAAATACAACTAAAGCTACTGAAATGTAGTTAGTAAAACTGAGGAACTGATGTTTTAATTTGACTTCACTGTAATTAAGTTAGAAAGTCACATGTGGCTAGCAGGCACCATACTAGACAGTGCAGATCTATATATTCTTCCTATCCCTTCAACAATGATGTTTGGGTTAGAGGGATCAGACATCGCTTTGTTGCCAGGGACCACTGACTCACAGAAGACTGAGTGACAGAAGGGTCCACAAGTTTATAAAAAAAAACATTTACTCTTTTTTGAGAGTAACAGAAATTGTTTTGCTTTTCTGTTTTTAAAGACTCTATTCATTAAATAAAATGATACTCGGCTTTCTATTATTTTAAAAAGAGAGGCAGGCTGGGAGCGGTGGCTCATACCTATAATCCCAGTGCTTTGGGAGGCCGAGGTGGGTGGATCCCTTGAGGTCAGGAGTTTGAGACCAGCCTGGCCAACATAGTGAAACCCCATCTCTACTGAAAAAAAAAATTACAAAAATTAGCCATGCCTGGTGGTGTGCACCTATAGTCCCAGCTACTCAAGAGGCTGAGGCAGGAGAATCACTTGAACCCAGGAGGCAGAGGTTGCAGTGAACCAAAATCGCACCATTGCACTCCAGCCTGGGCGACAAAGCAAGACTCCGTCTCAAAAATAATAAATAAATAAGAAAAGAGACAAACAGAAAGCCTCAGCAAGAGGGAAGATAACCCAATGACATAGACACAGCCACACACACACACACACACACACACACACACACAGAAGCAAACTGAGAAAAAACACACAGAAACAAAGATACAGATGACAGAAGCAGGCAGAGTGGAAGATGCAAACAGAAGCAGAACTGGTGTGCCTGGAGATTCATGCAAGATATGATCCCAAGTACTCACATCATAACTCTACTGAACAAAACTTGAGGCATTTGGGGTTTATCCTAAATGAGATGGGGGATCATTGCAAGGTTTCAAGCAAAGCAATTTCACACGGCCACTTAACAAAAAATGACTGCATGATGTGTGAAGAATGCAAGAGCAGAAGCAGGGAACGAGTTAGAAGGTTACCAGAGTAATTCGAGGAGAGAGCAGTGGCTTGAACAAGAGTGTTACAGTGAAGATGAGAAGTAAATGGATTTGGGAACACAGTCAACGGACCTTACAAATGGATTGTACCAAAGTAGAAAGAAAAAGAGAATGAAAAGTTTTGGCTTAAGCGATAGCTTGGATAAGGGCACCTTTACAAAGATAAAAATAAGCAGGTTGGGGATGTGAAAATCAGGAGTTTTGTCCAAGTTAAATTTGGAGTACCTAGTCTACTAACTAGATACCTCATATCTCCATGCATAGATGTTAAATTGACAGATACAGAAGTTTGGAGTTCTGGGGATACTTCGGGATAAAAGATAAAAGTTATAGCTTTCAAAAACACATGGAAATAAGAAAAATAAAACTTTTCTAAAATTTAAACTTTCAATCAACAAACAATAAATCAGAACAGATTAACGCAAAGAGACCAAATGACTTCTAGGGCAGCTAGACTTGGCCGTAGCCTGAATGAAGGCATGACTTTCATCAAGAATTACCTTATGCCATGGGAAAGCTATTCAGTCTTGGGAGGGGCAGAAAAAAATTCTGAATTCTGGAGGCATGTGTTAGCAGCGCTGTCCAAACACTTTCCAGAGCAGAGCCGAGGATACAGCTCTGCTGGGCAGATCCCCCTAGATGTACCCTGCTCAATTACCTCCAAATTCCAGGTTTCCCTATGCATTTTTCCCATTCCCCATTTGCCACCATCTGGTCACCCTTCAGCTCTCAGAAGAGCTGTCACTGTTCTCAGGAAGCTATCCTTGGGTTCCCAAATCCCCCTGTGCTTGCCATATCATAGCTTGCCATGCTATGTTGTTATCACTGCCTATTGCCTTGTCTATTTCTCCCACTACATTATAAACGCCCGAGGACAGGGTCTATTTGCTTACAGTTTAGTCCTCTGCTTCAGTCATACCACCTAACACACCACAGACTCTCCATAGGTGTTGGGTGGCTGAATAAATAGAAAAGGTGGGAAGATGAGAGGGAGCAAGGAAGAGACAGACAGAGGCCAAGAATATGCAATACTGCTCTTTGTGAGAAGTAATATCCTACTAGCATAAAAGAAATGGGCAAAGTCACCAGAATTTTAAAAGTAAACTTTGGCAACAGTGACTTTTTTTAAATGTTTTTTTCTTTCTTTTCAGAAACACTCTAGCAAGTAGACAATATGTCACATTATTTTACAGGAAAAAAATTTCTACTTTGGGACATCCAGATACTCTGTGCCTCCCAAGGTGATGAAAAGACAAAATAGGCAGCACAGAGTACCACCTATAGACTATTCTTACCAAAGAGATCTAAATCTAATCAAGTGCAAAATCTACCTGCCAGTTTACAGAAGAGAGAGAGAGAAAAAAAAAAAACATGTTCAATGATTTCAGGAAGATGCAGAATGTGGGAAATTCTATGGGACAAATGATATAATTTCTTCAATAAACAAGTAATATTAATAAAAGGGTTGGTGGTTTCTGATTAAAACAAAACACATATCACCCAAACAGTTGTGCAGGCTTCATTTGGATCTTGATTCAGGGGGGAAAAAAAGACATTTTTAAGACAATCAGGTTAATTTGAACATGGACTATCTATTGGAGATACTAAGCAACTGCTGTTAATTTCGTTATATGTGACAAATCAAAATGAATAGGTATTAGGTGACTGTGGTTTTTTCTTTTTTTAAGGCCCTTTTAAAAGAGATCCACCCTGAAATATTTACGGGTGAAATAATCTGATGCCTAGGATGTGCCTGAAAATACTTTCCTCCACCCCTAACCAGCACAAAAGGAGGGAATCAATGGAAGAACGATGGCAAAGTGTTGATCATTACTGAGGTTGGGGGATGGGCACGTGGAGTTCATCAAAGCGTACTCTGAACTTTTATATACTTGAAATTTTCGAAAAACAATTTTTTAAAAGTCTACTTGCATGAAGAGAATCTAGTATCCTTTTAAGATACTGCTATTAACACAACCCCAAGAAGAGTAAGACCCAACGATATCTTCATGTCAGAAAAGAAAAAAAGAAGTTTGTAATAGTATCTAAACACAACCAATACCAAAAAATAAAAATCTACTTCGCATATCTGCTCTGTAGTTTTAAGTAACATAGTATCTTTAAGCTTACACCTTCACCTGGATGAAATAAGCTTAAGATTAGGTCTAGACCGCAAGCCAGATTTTCTAACCCTCTGCTAATAAAGATCTTACATATATTTCATGGTCATACTTTAATTAGGACTACTCAAAAATATATGATATTCTTGCTTGTAAAACTTTTTAGCTTACTTGTTACAAAATACGTATAAATTTTAGTTCTCAAAATAGTCAATATTCTAAGTTTCACGACCTATCCACCAGTCTACAAAGCACCAGCAAAATAACAGCATGGTGTCATTATCATCTGACAAACTGGAAACCATGAGGTCTCCAAGCTTCATGCAATCATGTTTATTTGCAGTCAACCATTTTTCATTTCTAATAATGGATAAAGATAATACATTAACACTTACAAATAGTTCTGCTAGTGTTTTTGTCCAAGGCTGAAGTTTTTACTTCTTCAAGTTCTGAATTTAAAAGGAGATAAATGATGCTTTAGAAATTCTCTTTTCCATGAAAATCCTTAATTACAATAATTATCAGAACATTGCTGGAACTCAGCAACAGGTATTTGTTGCAAGATAATGAAAGCTACGTTACTATTCCGATAATCACCACTACAGTCATCAATCAATATTCTATACCACTGTTAGCCAATGGGTGTTACTTCTAGATGCTCAATGAAAATGTTCCTGTGGTCAAGAAGTTTGGGAAACGCCACATACTATAGTGTCTCTTTGGAGGTTCACAGTGAACATTAGAATGTAAAGACTAAAAGGAGTCATGGGGTCACAAAACTTGTCTAACCCATAATTGCCATCCTCATATGATAAAGGAAACTTTTCTTGCTAGTAACACCTACTAACATTCCATATGGTACAGATATGTTTTCTGTTGCAGACAGTTTTTGAAATGTAGTAGGCTGGAAAACCAGATAAATAAAAACATTAGGATCACATAAAGTAAGAGTCAGGAGCCTGAACTGGGTGACTAGGGTGGCCAAAACCATGACCAATAAATACAGAGGGCCAGAGAAAAACTTAAGTCTAAAACAGAATAGAAAATTACTCCAACACAGAATTTGAATGTTAATTTCACACACATATTAAAGAAAATGGAGAAGGTATATGATCATTTTGAGTATCAGTTGATCATTAACCTTAGCAGATATTAGCACTGGTGGGATCCAGAGGCCACACCATGTCTGGTTATCATTCTGCCTTTAAGAGTAACATGAAGCACCATGGTACAGTCATGTCCATCTCTCTCAGGATCACGAACTGAATGTTTTATACTCCTCACTGGCTAGCTGTGGTAGCCTAGGTGGCCTAGGGTCCAATCTCCTTATATCAAACATATAATGACTACACTGGACTAAAGAGTCTCTGAAATCTCCTTTGTCTTTAAAATTACATGGAAGTTGGTACATAACTGAATATAGTAGAACTGAAAATTGTATCAAAACACTAAAGCTGAAAGATGCTAGCTTTTCTTTCTTAAAATGTCTATTCAAATGTAGTGAAGCTTTTTTATTGGCATGTACCCAGACATTAGCCATTACAACTCACTTGTTGGCCTTACGTGTTTTCATAACACTCAGCACTGATTTCAATTGGGAAATTTATTAAAAGACAGTTTAACAAAGAGACTGACAGAATAGGTCTGCATCCTAGCTATACCACTTAGCCATCTGATCTTGGCAAGCTAGATTCTCTGAAGCTCAGCTTCCTTTTCTGAAAATGACAACAATGACAGAACCCATTGCCTAGGGTTGTTGTAGGGATTAAACAGGTGTAATATCTGTCAGGCACTTAGAACATAGTAAGCACTCAGGGTTTGGGAGGTTTTTTTTAAGGATTTCCCCTCACCCCCATCTTAGATACTAACCAATTCTACCTATGTGACCTTGTAAATTTGGGTCACTTTAGCTTTATGGAACTTACAGTGAGTGGGTTGAACTAAACTTGTAAGGAGAACTCCAAAATTCTTTGATTTATGACCTAGCATGCTGGAACTCTTTCATATCCACTCTGATTTCTTCAGTTTATAATTCAAAACCAAAAAAAACTAACTTTGGTAAGTACCCACATACGGTATTCTAAGTTTTAGGCTAGATTTAATGAATCGTAAAAACAACAAACCTCTGAAACAGGTATTATGCCCATTTTACAGATGAAGAAAACTGAGCTTCAGAGACGTTAAGGAACTTGTACCAATATCCTGAAAAGACCAGAGCTGTCATTCCAACCCAGGTCTTCACCCCAGAGCAATGCTTCTGCATAAAAGTAACTTGATAAGGGAAACACAATTAACATAGTTACTCAGAAGTCCCGACAGATTTTTCTTATTTCTTTACCTCTGCAATCATTTTAGCACTATTCCTAATGGAAAACATCTTAGCAATTCTGACAAAAGATTTGAGAAAGCATGGACTGAATGAGGCCTGAGTGAGATTCCTGGCTACCAACTATCTGGGATTATCTCAGAACTTCATCTGTCAGTGTTCTTTTCTCACTTGCAACTATAATCACGAGTTGGTCATAATCAAATCTGTGAAAAAACAACAAACTCTATTTTTCACCTTCTCACACATACGTAAAACATATTTTGGTAAATAAATTCCTTACTTTTGTAGCACATTTTCCTTCGTTTAAAATTTAAGACGGTAAAATTTTTTGAAGAATTTACTGTCAAGTTGAGCTGCATTAGTATCATAACTTCAGAATCTACTTTGCCAGTACAGGAAAGCTCTACCCGAAACACTGTTTAAAAAAGATAAGAAAAATATTTTACATTTTCTAAAAATCACCATTAATGCCCCAAAATGATTCTTTTAAACATTTTAGAATTACTTATTTTTGCTGCAAGAAAACTAAAAATAATACATTTAAATAAAGTAACTAAACAGAAGTTTTTAGAAATCTTCAGACTACCACACCTCTAGACATTAAGCATTTAATTCATTGTGGATATAAAAGTTAGTATTAAAGAACAAACCAAGACATCAATGAAGAGATAATTGTTTTCAACTTTTGCTCATCGTTTTTAATATATCACTTTGTCTCATAAGTCCTGCTATTCCAATACACTAAAGCTAAAGGATCATCAGGCAAACCTTAGCAGACACATCAGCAGTAGTAACAACAGAAATTACATGATCAAATGGAAAGACAACTCACCACCAAAATGCAAGCATGTCTGCTCTTCATAAAAAGATTAAATATAAACCTGTAAATGAATCTGATCAATTCTCAGCTATGAGTTTAAAAACAACACCTTTCTCAATAGAAACTGATTTTAATTCATAACTGTAGCAATGGGATAACAGGCTTCAGTGCATATAATTTTTTCCCCAATCTTTAAGATTCTTTTCCTACAAATTTAAAATATATCATTCTACCATCTGTATGAGTGCATTAAAGATATGGGCATTTCTAAATTCCTTTACTGCCCACAAAAATTTAAGCAGCCTTCCTGTGCTTTCTTCAAGCTTAATGTATGTGACTGATAACAGTGAATATGACTGCCAGAAAAAGTTTCACAACACTATTGTGGCTGATACTTTCAATTTTTAAAAATTTCCATTTCTTACAAATACTACAACTTAAAGAGCCTAAGAAGTTAGTTCAAAAGTAGTTAAACTGGTGTAAATAAGATATTTATTCACTTACTCTGACTGTACTGAGTGCCTATCCTGCGCCATACTCTATGCTAAGCATCAAGGGAATTGCTAGATAATGTAATCAGTGCAAAAACAGTTAAATATAAGGTTCCAAGGGGGTAGGAAGAATAGAAGTTAACAAATGAAAGAAGAGAAGGTGGCAGGAAAAAGAGTGTAGATCTTGAGTCTTGCAGAATGAGTAGGATTAATAGAAAGGAGTTCACAAGCAGAAAGAGGAAAAGATGATCCCAAATACTGAGACCTGCACATGCAAAGGCTTAAAGATCAGAACTTCATGTAGTCTGGAACTGCTAGAACTCGGGCAAGTGCAGCAACAAGGCTAGACAGGCAGACAGGGGCAGATGGTAAAGGATCCAGGACACAAGGTGGTGAGTCTGGAATGTTCAGTTGATGGGAGTGGAGGGCACTGATGGGCTTCAGGTCACAGGGTCAAATATGACCATGCAAAGACCATCTGGGCCACAGGGGTGGAATGTGGTGCCTAATCAAAGCGAAACGAGATCAGACACAGGGACTCATGTGGAGGTAAGTATCAGCAATGCAGAAAAGGAGAGAGGGAGGGCTGAGCACAGAGAGTTCTAGAAGGAAAGAAAAGAGAGAATGGTTTAAGAACACAGTGCAAATATTTACAAAAATTACTTTTCACAGTACTTACACATCTTATGCCTATCAAGTAATACACACTACTCATCAGTAGTTAAACTTCTGTTTTGGGGACACAGGGCATGCAGTTGAAAAAGTATGTTAACTCTGTCTTTGAAGAAACTCACTTACCTGATAAAGTGCGTGGAACTTCCCCCTGAACAGAAATGTTGACCTGGGGCATGTCCATTGCCAAAACATTGTCCACTTGGAATCCCAGCTTATATTCAACCTGTAAAATAGACAGAAATAAGCAAAACGGACCTGTGATAAGAAGAAAGATACTATCAGCTTGACTTCATTAATTAGCTCATTAACTAATCAATGCATGAGCCTTTCACATGTACAAATAATCTAGCTATAAAAAAATCCAAATTGTCAGAAATAGTCCCAAGAATTTTCAGTTGGATAAAAATTCAATCCAGTAAGCCACCCTCTATTTTATGTCCAGAACAGGACCACCACTCTTCCATAAAACCTGCCATCTAGGGTCAGAAATCCTGCTGACGACTATGCAGCACTGACAGAGAGGCCATGAAGAGCCAGATGTGAAGAACCAGAGCGGTGAGATATGTAACTGACAGACCATAAATAGCTACCAATGTCTTCTCTGGTTGATAAATGAAAGCCAAGCTCGGAGGGCCTCCTTGTGGCTGGTAGAAGAAGGTCCGGTCTGCAGACCTACTCACACAATAAGCAGATGCCAAGGTAGATTTCTCATAGAATATCTAAGTCACATCCTCTAGTCTTGCTCCCACCAAAAAGGAAGTTCATATTTAGATCCCCATTTAACTTGAGAAGTGATTTAGAATCCAGAAAGGAAGAGAGGCAACCCATGAAATGTTGCTAAAACACCAATATTATCTATCAATACCTGGCCTACCCAATGTGGCTTAATAGAACCAATCAGCATCAATAATTATGGCTCTGTTGCTATGGAGAGTTCATGAAAGAAGCAGCTCAAACTGCAAAGCAATAGCTGAAATTCAGAATGGCTGCCAGCATCAAGACCTTCAATGAGGTCCTACAGTTCACATCACTCTCTGCCCTGCCCACAGGTTCTTGATACGTATGGTATCCCTCTCCCATTCAGTGGTCACAAAAGGTGTCATTGGTGGCAGACTGAGATTTGCAGAGCCATGAGGCAGCAGGTTGGGAAAAGAGTGAGAAGAAAGACATTCGATAAGCCATTCTTTAAGAAACTTAACTGGAAGAATGGGAGACAGATAGTGAAGTGGGGGATGTTCCAAAGCTTTTCTTTCTTCGTTTTTAGATGAGATATTCAAATATGTATACATGCTGGTGAATAAAGCTAATGAAATGGTGCATAATAAAGATGAAAGAAAAGAGGGAAAGAGTATCATCCCAGATATAAGGGAAGGGATGGCCCTTACGCTTGGGTTACGGTGGAAGGCGTTGTTACCCATGAATAAGAAGGGCTCAATCTAGAGTTTGATTCCCCTTGGGGTTTCTCCTTTCACACTGTATTTAAAGTCTCTTAGCTAAACACTGTAGGGGTATACAAACATTAAACTCTTCCTTTGCAGTTAACATAGGTACATAAACAACTGTTAAAGGCTGTGTTTGATAAGTGCCACATTCCCAACAAAGGAAATGTTCTTGCTGCAGCACATCAGTGACTTAGAGGTACCTTGGCTACAAAGTGTTCACACTCACCTTAGCGTATCACAATACCATTGCTGCCACCAGGGGGTGCTACAGAGCCACAGTCAAGCAAGTTTGGGCAGGGAATGAGCAAGCTTTCCAGCAATACAACATCAAAGAATGCATTCATTATACATCCCTACACCCATGCTCTCTCTGAACAGGACTATACATGAAGGGTAGGTGCACAAAAGAAACCAGCACCGCCAGCAAGAACTGGGTTCGGAACCATGAGACCATGTGACCCTCAGGTAAATTAGTAACTTCTCTAAGTTTCCATTTTTTGTAAAATGAGGGTAATACATGTTATGAGGATCAAATAGGATCATTAACGTAATACACCTAACTGTTAGCCTGGCACAAGTCTCCTCTGATAAATGCAGACATCGGCGGCATCAGCAGTCATTCCAGAACAGCCACCTTACTGCCATGCTGCCCTTCTTCATAATCATCAGCCCACTGCTGGCCCCAGGGATTCTGACACTAAACCTCCTGGGTCTGTCAAAAACACTGTTGCAGGCCTTCTGTTTCTTCCCCCATTCTGAGAACCTCCCTATTCAGAACAACCTCCTACACTCTCTGCCTCTTCACAAATGTCTTCCCACCTTCTCCCACAACCTGGCTTTCTCAGAAGTCATCTGTTCCTCTATCATTCAGTTCCTATAACACCCGACCCTCAGGGCCTAGACAGTAGGGTCAGCACTCTTTAGGATCACTAGGTCCTTCCCAGACATCCCTTCCTCATGCCCTCATGCAAATCCCCTCTACTCTGAAGCTCATAACTTCTTTTTTTGAGACCGAGTATCACTCTGTCACTCAGGCTGGAGTGCAGTGGCGTGATATCAGCTCACTGCAACCTCTGCCTCTTGGGTTCAAGCGATTCTCCTGCCTCAGCCTCCGAAGTAGCTGGGACTACAGGCACACGCCACCATGCCCAGCTAATTTTTGTATTTTTAGTAGAGACAGGGTTTCGCCATGTTGGCCAGGATGGTCTCGAACTCCTGGCCCCAAGTGATCCACCTGTCTTGGCCTCCCACATTGCTGGGATTACAGGCGTGAGCCACCGTGCCCAGCTGAAGCTCACAGCTTCTACTCATAATGGCTACTTCTCATGCCATCAACACCAATGACCCACACAGGACTTGCAGCAGCCTTGGTGTCCTGCTATGTTCTCCCTGGCTTCAATATTCAGTATTCAATATCCTGACACACTAAAGAACTACTTCATAACCAAAACAAATGCAAAAATGCCATTCTACCAAAGATCCCATCACCACCTCTGATGCCTACAAAACCAGTTCTCTGACTCCATCACTCCAAGTCAGCCAAAGTTTATTAGGCACATTTATGAGCTAGGAGCTGTGTTCCTAACAGGATGCAGTAGCCAGTTAAAGCCACTTCCCTTCTCTCCAGTATAGCCACAAACACCTAGTTTCATGTTTCCCACAGCCTAATCCCTAAAGAAGGCAACATTACTGACAGTCATTATTGGCACCTTCAGCTGGTTCACTCCTTCCAAACTCTCAAAGGGCAGCTCCAGCATCCTGACCACCCCTTACTCTACTCCTGCTGCTCAGCACTGCTGAAGGAAATCCATCCTACAGAGAAGGAGCTCTTACACAATGATGACCTCCAGTCTCAGCAGAGGCCTTTAGTTCCACTCAGCAATCCCTTCCTCACTGACCCTCTCTTCCCTAGTCTTATTCCAACCTTACAGACCTTCCCCACCTCCTCACACTCAATGTTTTTGTCCCTTTCCACTAGCACAGAGGAACTCCATTTTCGCCTTTCTTTTCAACACCCAGGCAGATCTGTTAGAGCATCCATTCTTTTCATTCCACTCCCAAGGAAAGGTCCATTTTCCTCTCCAAATGTAAATCCTTCTCTCCTAGTACACTAGGTTCTAGCCCATTTCACCACTGATGGAATATCTTAATCATCCATTTCTCTCACTCTCTTTTATCTTCAATCCCTCCCAAGTGTCCAATTACCTACTAGGCAAATCTACCTAATTATCCTACAGCCTTCCCACTTAACAAATTCAAAGCCACACTTACTATTTCCCCAGAAACTTGCTGTCTCCTTTATCACAGGTCTCAGTGATCACAAGGAGAGAAGCAGCAGACCAGAGACCAGAACCCCTAAGGAAGCAGAGAGGGTCTAGCAAAGGGGTCCAGGGCACTAACTGCAGTTAAAAAAGGGGTAAGACGGGCACCTGAGCATTTCAGTGTGGCAAGGTGAAAAGGAGGAGAGAAGGGACGGACACAAGGTTGTGAGTGTAGCTGGCCAGTGAGGGCACAGGGAGAGGTGCAAAGGGCTGAGGAGGAGATCTGAGAAGGCAGCCCCTTTGGTCGGATCAGCAGCTTAGAGGAATATGAAGCAAGAAACTGCGGAAGCCTGCTTGCTGGCTCCTTTTTTGAGGAACTGTCTAAAAATGGGGGGCATTCACAAGGTAGTTCTCTTTTCCCTCTGCAGTCTTTAGGATATAAATTTTAAAACTGCAGTTTCTGGGATTAGAGAAGAAACTGCCAATTATTGAAATCCAATTTTCTCTAGTTGGGCATGTATCAATCTGTAAGGACTCTCACTTGCCAATCATCCTTTAATGAAACAGATCTGCTCAAAAGTTAAATGTACAGTCTACTGGGACAAAGCAATTTGAACAGTAGTTGTTTATCAGAGTGTAGAGTGAGCCAAAATACTTCAGAAAAGAAACTACAGGCCAGGCCTGGTGGCCCACACCTGTAATCCCAGCATTCTGGGAGGTCAGTGCAGGTGGATCACTTGAGGCCAGGAGTTCTAGACCAGCCTGGCCAACATGGTAAAACCCCGCCTCTGCTAAAAATACAAAAATTAGGTGGGCATGGTGGTGGGCACATGTAATCCCAGTTACTCGGGAGGCTGAGGCAGGAGAATCACTTGAACCCGGGAGGCAGAGGATGCAGTGAGCCGAGATCACACCACTGCATGCCAGCCTGGGTGACACAGTCAGACTCAGTCTCAAAGAAGAAAAAAAAGGAAAAAAAAAAAAAAAAAAAGAAAAGAAAAGGAAAAAAAAAAAAAACAAACAGAAACTACCAAAAATATAAACATTTGAATAAACTGAAAAATAAACATTTTTGCTTATGTTCCCTTACTTGGAAACAAATGGCAATTACAAGTAGGAAGCTGGCAAGTAAAGCCATTTCCTTCTGGAACACAGAGAGTACAGATTTAAAGTGAATACACTTGTCTACAGCTAAATAGCCCTTTAATTTCTCTGAACTTACTAGAAGTAATGCCTTTCTCATACAGGACACAGCCGCTGGCCTCCAGCGGTGTCTGCTGGAACTCTGGACAAGTTCCCTGCAACTCCTAGAAAATGATGATGAATTCCTGAAAGCAGAAAACAGCCATGCGGTGAGGGTGGGTAGTGGGAATAGTCTGCTACATCCTGGCAAATTTTTGCTTTTCAGGTATCTAAAAAGTTACTGACGGCTAGATGCAGTGGCTCATGCCTGTGATGCCAGCACTTTGGGAGGCCGAGGTGGGCAGATCGCAAGGTCAGGAGATCAAGACCATCCTGGC